GAGACTTTGCGTAGATAAGGTTATATGAGCTGGGGATTTCCTGCTAGGCGTGGTCGGGAACCGTTTCGTAAATGGCTGGGAGGATGATCTCGTTATAGAGGTCTCTAAATCGTGCGAGAGAGAGACTATTTGCGGAAGCCCGTATCTGTGAATGGGCTCTATGAGGGAAGAAGAGGAAGACGGAGAAGCGGACGGCGGCGGTGGTAAAAGTGCCGATATAAGTGTGCCGAGTATGTGCTAGATTAAGGCCGTGGGGCTGGATGACTTGGTTGGTGGAGATATTATTCTTATGAGGCGGGAAGAAAGAAAGTTAAAACTGGTTAGGGGCTTAAATGGCGGATAAACTCTTGGCCCTAAACTAGATGCTATTAATATCCCACTGGCGCGTGATAGTCACCGAATTATGTGGGAGGGAGGCCTATGTCTTGCGGAAAGAGAGCGGCTCAGGGGGTTAGGCAGAGAGAAAGCTTTGCTAATGGGGGAAAGAGGCACGAGGGTCGCAGGCGTTGTTATGCTCCGCGAAGACGGCCGGCAAGGGAGGAAGAGAGTGGCCGAGACGTTTAATTCTTTCCTAAAGAGTATCGGTATATTTGGATTTAGCGAGCTCGCGTGAATTCGGGCCTAGTTTGAGCATATAATATAAGTACCTCTATAACTCAAGAGGGTCGGGTCGGGTGATGATGATATGATAATGACTTATATTCGTATTGGCGGCTAAAGAATGTGCGAAGGACGCGATTATATAAATCGCCCTGCGCGCATAGAAAATCGGGGCCACCAGTAGTATCCTAGTCGTGGATCGCTTGGAGAAAGCCGCTAAGGATTAGATGATAATTCTTAGGCCTAAGGGAAGGCGAGGCTGATGGGATGAAGTAGTCCGGCGAGTCCGATATTAACGAAGTAGAACTTCTCGGCCGAGATAATAACTAACTATTATCTTGCCGAGGAAGGCCAGGAGATAATAATGGTGCTAAGGCCGTCGGTAGCAATACGGCATTGGTATCGGGCGAGGAGCTCTTAGTGTTATTACTATGGCTACCCTTAATATTATAAACGGGGGAAGCCATGGACGATAAGGGAAGAGATACTTCCTTAAACTTAAGCTCGGGACCCGACTAAGACGGGATTTAGGCGGGCAGAGATGATAATAAGGTCGAATTATTACGTAAGGTTAAGGCGGAGAATTCGACGGTAGGTAGTAGCTCCTAGGTGACCGCAGCCTAATGAATAATCTGTTGTACCCTTGTAAGGTGCTGCTGGTCGCGGTGTCGTTGGACATGGAGACGCGTTCGCCCACGCGGTGATATATCGGGGTCTAACCGGGGACGGCCAGGTCTAAGGCCTAGTTGCTTATTATTTGATAAAGATGAATCTAAATTTAGAATTCCGATTATAGAGATCTCTTCCCCTTCGTCTTATCCGGCGGCGCTCGACTGGTTTATGGCTATAGGATACGGCGCCGCGATATGGTTGGAGTCGGGATATATTTACTTATTAATCGGCGGTGTTGGTACTTGTGGTCCCGCGGACACTTCCGGTCATAGATCCGGTTCGTTCGCTATAGCTACCGGTTCGTGAATGATCGAGGTGGGTCGATTAGCGATGATAATTCCTGGGCTTTGGCTTCCTCGATGGGTAATAGTGATGGTGGATAGTGGTTGTTCGTCGGTCGGGTCTAGGGTAGTATTGTCTTAGTTCGCGGCATCCGGCTGATCTGGGGCGATAGATCAAAGCGTTAGATCGCCTCTTCACAGAGAGAATAGAGAGAACATAAATAAATTAGGAAAAGGGGAAATTAGAAAGAAGTATGGCTTTAGTAGCCGAGTCTAAGCTAAGGGTATTATACCTATAATGGTAGCGTATAAGCTGGGTGTTAATAATAGGGGGTTGTCTACTAGACGAGTATTTGGGTTATGGGAATATTCTTGAATATATTATGCTTAGTTTTATTGAAGGTTTCGGAGGCGGTGTTGTCTTATACGCTCGCGCGTGCGATCTCTTCTCTCCTAAGCCGAGAGTGCACGGGGAGCTATTATTTGTGATGATGCGAGAGAAATAAGTTCCCTAGCATATTATGGACCTTGCTGCTACTACTGGTTCTTATTTATTAGTTTATTTGTTTGTTTATTTATTTCTTTTGATATAAACCGTGATTGCTTCTCGCTAACCTTTCTGCCTTATATTTTCTTTCTTTTTCTTATTCTCTAAACCCCCTATATTTTATGAGGGGGCGTAACTAGCTTATGAGGTGATTGGTGATGACTAGGGTTTGTTTCCTCGGTAGGGGAAAGGATAGGCGGTGGCGGTTATAGAATCCGAAATACGGATAGAGGCCGGGTTAATCGTTCTTGCGGATTTTAGTATAGTTCTCTTGGAATAGCTTTAGTCGGCGAAGGCCTAGAAGAACATAGACATAGGGTAGTAAGGCGATATTGTCGTTCAGGTGATGGTGGTGATATTATTGTGATACTTTATAGATACGGAAAATTTAGTTATAAACATTATATATAATTAGAGATAGCATTCTTTATTATAACCTAGACGTTAATAGATTAATCCGTGGATGAGATGTTAGGATGGATGTGAGGATGATAATAAGTCGCTATGTCTTTCCGTCTGAGATCTAACCTAATAATAGTATATCGGGGGATATATAATGATATATCCTAATAGGGATATTATAACGCCTAAGACTTTATCGTATTAGTCCGCAGAAACTGGCAGGGATATTATAACGCCTAAGATGCAATTCTATTAGGTAGTCTCTTCTTTAGGAACAGGTACCCTCCAGGAGGCTTAGGCCAACCTGCTATTATTATTAACCCCAGATTTTGCGCCTTTAATTAATGATTAAAATGCATTCTAACGCCGAGTAAACGGAGGGGTCGCTATGGCGTGAAAGTCCTCGTATATCCGTCGAATAGTCAAGTGGAGGAGCCATTCTTCGCAGTGTCGTACCCGACCCTGATCGTTCAGAGACGACTTTGCTCCTAACCCTGGACTTCACGACCGCGCCCGTCTCGCCTTTAGGGTTGGTCGTCAAGAGTGGAGTACCGTCCGCGTTTAGACGCAATCACATTGGCCGCCGCTAAAAGCCACTAATAAGGGTATAACGGTATTTCATAAGTAGTATTTAGTCGGGTTTAGCCTCGAACTAGAATCGACTATTAAATACGCAATAAAAGTAGCAAAAAAAGGCCCAAATAGAGATAACTATATTCTTTTTACTGATAATCCGATTAGTATTACTTTTCCTTATCCTTTGGTCTGGTTTTTACTTGCTTATTAGTGGTGGTGGAATTTTTAAGAGTTTTAATCGTGCTCTTTGGCCGACGCTTGAATTTTCACTAAGACTTTCACGACGGCCTCAGCCCTGGCCCTACAACCAACATTGATACCCAATGTATCACCCTATCCCTCTAGAGGTTCCTTTAGAGGTTCTAGAGGTTCCTTTAGAGGTTCCTTTAGAGGTTCTAGAGGTTCCTTTAGAGGTTCTAGAGGTTCCTTTAGAGGTTCTAGAGGTTCCTTTAGAGGTTCTAGAGGTTCCTTTAGAGATTCTAAGGTCTTCTATAGAGGTTAGGGTCATGGTTAGGGTCAGGCATTGGGTCAGCTATAGATAGAAGCCCTTCGGGCTTCTATAGAGATTCTAAGGTCTTCTATAGAGGTTAGGGTCATAGTTAGGGTCAGGCATTGGGTCAGGGTTAGGGTCAGGCATTGGGTCAGCTATAGATAGAAGCCCTTCGGGCTTCTATAGAGATTCTAAGGTCTTCTATAGAGGTTAGGGTCATGGTTAGGGTCAGGCATTGGGTCAGGGTTAGGGTCAGGCATTGGGTCAGCTATAGATAGAAGCCCTTCGGGCTTCTATAGAGATTCTAAGGTCTTCTATAGAGGTTAGGGTCATGGTTAGGGTCAGGCATTGGGTCAGGGTTAGGGTCAGGCATTGGGTCAGCTATAGATAGAAGCCCTTCGGGCTTCTATAGAGATTCTAAGGTCTTCTATAGAGGTTAGGGTCATGGTTAGGGTCAGGCATTGGGTCAGGGTTAGGGTCAGGCATTGGGTCAGCTATAGATAGAAGCCCTTCGGGCTTCTATAGAGATTCTAAGGTCTTCTATAGAGGTTAGGGTCATGGTTAGGGTCAGGCATTGGGTCAGGGTTAGGGTCAGGCATTGGGTCAGCTATAGATAGAAGCCCTTCGGGCTTCTATAGAGATTCTAAGGTCTTCTATAGAGGTTAGGGTCATGGTTAGGGTCAGGCATTGGGTCAGGGTTAGGGTCAGGCATTGGGTCAGCTATAGATAGAAGCCCTTCGGGCTTCTATAGAGATTCTAAGGTCTTCTATAGAGGTTAGGGTCATGGTTAGGGTCAGGCATTGGGTCAGGGTTAGGGTCAGGCTTTGGGTCAGCTATAGATAGAAGCCCTCTGGGCTTCTATAGAGATTCTAGAGCTTTCTATAGAGGTTAGGGTCAGGCATTGGGTCAGGGTTAGGGTCAGGCTTTGGGTCAGCTATAGATAGAAGCCCTTCGGGCTTCTATAGAGATTCTAAGGTCTTCTATAGAGGTTAGGGTCAGGGTCAGGGTCACACATTGGGTCAGGGTTAGGGTCAGGCATTGGGTCAGCTATAGATAGAAGCCCTTCGGGCTTCTATAGAGATTCTAAGGTCTTCTATAGAGGTTAGGGTCAGGGTCAGGGTCACACATTGGGTCAGGGTTAGGGTCAGGCTTTGGGTCAGGCATTAGCTCAAGGTTATGCTAGGCTTAGGTTAGAATCTTCTAGAATAACCCTAGGGTTATATAAGTCTCTTTTATTTCTACCTAGCTTTTTATACTTAGCTTTAACCTTATGCTTAGCCTCTAAGCCTTATCTTAGCTACCTTATAGCTATTCTTTTTAGCTATCTTATTTTCTTTTAATTACCTTATTTCCTTTTAGCTACCCTATACCTATAGCTACCCTATACCTATAGCTACCTAGCTACCGTATACCCTACCTACCCTATAGCAAAATGCCCTCGCAGCGTTGCCCAACCTGCAAAGGCAGCTATAGAGACCTCCTAGAGCATATACGCAAAAAACACCCTGCCGAGACCTATACAGACCGGCAGCTACAGCCCCTTGGCTTAGTCAGCTGCCCTTATTGCGGCACAGCCTGCCGGGGGTCTCACGGCATCAAGACCCACAGTGCTAAGATCCACGGCATAGAAGGTAAAGCCTATATTTCTACCTTACCTAGGCCAAGGACCTATATAGCTACTAGGGCCACTAGTGCCTCTAGGGCCTCTTTAGCTTCTTCTATTAGCCCTACTAGTCCTAATCAGGCTAGCCCGGGCTTAGTTAGCTATAGAGGCCTTATAGGAAGAAAGAGGCTAGCAAGGACCCCCTCTCCACAGCTACAAAGACCTACAAGGCGGCAAAGGCAGCTACAGCCTAGCCCTACCCTAGAGGAGCCTACCCTAGACCGACCAAGCTCAAGGGAAAGCTATAGGTCTTTTTCTAGCTATGAGGAAAGGGGAAGACCCTCTAGCCCTAGGTCCCTTAGCTCTAGCTCCTCTTGCCCTAGCACGCCTAGCCACAGGCCCTCTAGTCAGGGACCTACCCTAGAGCCTCTAGAAGAATATACCCTAGAGCCTCTAGGGCCCCTAGAGGAGCCTACCCTAGAGCTAGAGACTAGGGAGCCTAGGGAGCCCAGGGAGCTTACCTTAGAGCCCGAGCCTAGGGAGCTTACCTTAGAACCCGAGCCTAGGGAGCTTACCCTAGAGCCCGAGCCCAAGGAGCCTACCCTAGAGGGGCCTACCCTAGAGCAGCTACATAACCAAGCTATAGCCCCAATCCTAGCCAAGGCATCTATGCAGAAGCTATTAGCCTTTGCAAAGATCCCTATACCTGAGAAAAGGCTACACGCAAGGCAGGCTGCTATTTTCACAGCTGCAGCCCATAAAGCTGCAGCTGCCTTTTTAAAGAGGCCTACTGAAAAGGCCCTATTACATTTCCTTATTTTACCTAGGCTACTAGGGTTAGGGTTACAAAAAGGAGGCCTAGCTAGCCTCCTTCGACTATTCCCTTCTAACCTTCCTACCCTAGAGAGCCTACAGTCCCTTGAGCAGCCCCCTAAGGCAGCTAGACCCTCTATAGCCCCTAGCCCGGCTCAGAAGGCAGCTAGGCTACTAGAGAGAGGCTACCTAGGCCGGGCTGCTAGGGCTCTTATTGACCCGACCCCTATAGCGCCTAATTCAACGGAAAATAGGGCTAGGCTGCTAGAAAAGCACCCTATCGGCTCAAAAGACCCCTTCTAAGGGAAGACCCGCCCTAGGGCCGGCCAACCAATCACATCAGAGACAATTATAGCAGCTATAGCCTCTATAGGCAAGGAAAAGGCCCCGGGCCTTAGTGGCTGGACTAGGCCCCTTTTGGACCTAGTAACTAGGAAAGATTCCCCTGTGATAGCTTTTCTAAGGCTGCTAGCTGATATGATTCGCCAAGGCACGGCCCCCGGAGCCCACTTATTATGCGCTAGCCGCCTAATAGGGCTTGAAAAGCCCGATGGAGGGGTTAGGCCTATAGCTATAGGAGACCTTATCTATAGGGTAGCTATGAAGGCGATCCTGATGACCTCCTATCGACCGAATATGCTCCTACCCTTCCAGCTAGGTGTGAATAGCCCAGGCGGGGTTGAACCCGCTATTTTCCTCCTCTATGAGGCTATTATAGGCCCAAATGAGGCTAATTTCCAGCAGCTAGCCTCTATCGACCTCGCTAATGCCTTCAACTCAGTAGATAGGGCTTCTATAGCTGCTTCAGTAGCTATATATGCCCCTACCTTCTATAAGGCAGCAGCTTGGGCCTATAATGACCCTTCTATCTTAGTCACGGAAGATGGGTCAGCTATAGCCTCGGCTAAGGGCGTAAGGCAAGGCGACCCTCTCGGACCTCTTCTTTTTTCCCTTGCCTTCCGACCTACCCTAGAGGCCCTAGCTAGGAAGCTACCGAGGGCAACCTTAGTAGCTTATCTAGATGACCTCTATATTCTCAATAAGGCTCCGCAAGGCACCCTAGAGGCAGCCAAGGAGGTCTTAAAAGGCTCCCCTTTTAGCCTTAACCTAGCTAAAAGCAAGGAAAAGGCTATAGAGGACCTTAAGCTAGAAGGCTTAAAAGCCTTAGGCACCTATATAGGCCCTATCCGGCCTAGAAGAGCCTTCTTGCAAGAAAAGCTAGCTACCCTACAGGAAGCCCTAGAGGCCCTGCAAGACCTTCCTAAGCAGCACTCTTTGCTTCTTCTTAGAGGCAGTATTCAGCTTCTTCTAAGGCACCTTCAGAGGCAGCTAGACCCAACTGGGCTAGAAGACCTTTGGGAAGAAGCTGATACCCTTATAAAGGAAGCTATTATAGCCTTAGCGGCTAGAAGCCCTAGTGAGTGCCCTAAGGAGCCTAACCTTAGCCTTATAGCCCTTCCAGTCAGGGAGGGAGGCCTAGGAATACCCTTACACAGAGACCTAGCCCACGAGCTATTCCTAGCAGCTAGGGAGGCCTCGCAGCCTACCCTAGACCTCATCCGGAAGCCCCTAGCCCAGCCTACCCTAGACCAAAGCCAGCCTAACCAAGGCCAGCCTAGACTAGGGAAAACAGCACAACAGGTGCTAAAGGAAGCTAATAAGGCTAGGCTAGCAGGCTTCCTAGAGGACCTTCCAGCTAGCTATAGGCATGCTAGGCTAGAAAACGCTAGCTATCTCGGCCGTAAGTGGCTCGGAGTCTTACCTACCCAAAAAGCCCTATCTTTTACAGACTCCGAGGTCACTGAAGCCCTCCGAAGCCGGCTTTTCTACCCAATCAAGCCTATCAGCTTACCCTGTAGCTCTTGTGGAGCTATAGCTGCCTTAGGCCATCAAGATACCTGCAAGGGTGCTAATAGAAGGTGGATTGCAAGGCATGACGCTATAACTAGGGCCTTTGTGAGAGCCCTAAGTAGCCAGCCTACCCTAGAGGTCGAAAAAGAACCCCTAGTCCACCCAGAAGGTAGCCTAAGGGCCGACTTTGTAGTTAACCTAGGAAATAGCCGCTATTACTATGATATTCAAATCGTAGCTATTTCAAAGGATTCTGCTAAAGAAGACCCTTATAGCACCTTAAGAGAGGCTGCCGAAGAAAAACGCAGAAAATATAGGTCTCTCGGGGCCTTTTTTCAGCCTCTTATTATCTCAGCAGGCGGCCTTATGGACCTAGAGACAGCTAAGACCTATCAGAAGCTCCAGGACCTTATTGGCCCCCTTGCGGCTAACCAGCTAGATTCCTCTATTAGCCTTGCCCTGATGAGGACTAGGGCGACCTCTGCGGCTTCTATAGCCCGAGATACCCCTAGTAACCTAGCTAGGTCGATCTGGAATACCCCTAGGGCTTCTTAAGGCTTTTCTTTATCTTTTACCTTTTATCTCTTATCTCTTATCTCTTTGCCTTTTTCTTACTAGCTATACCTCTCTCTTTTAGTTATTTCTCTTTTTCCTAGCTATATCTCTCCCCTAGCCTTATCTCTTTCTTAGCTATACCTCTTTCCTAGTTATATCTCTTATGCTTTTTCTTTTATTATTTCTTAGAAAAATCTCCCCTCTTTTATCTATAAGCTATATCTTAGCTAGAAGAAACCCCTAGGGCAAAATAGCTTAGATAGTTAATAGTTACTCTGTTCTAACCCTAACCCCGTCAGCGTTTACCTCCAGCCCTGCTTAGCCCTTGACCCCGTCAGCGTTTACCTCTAGCCCTACTCAGCGTTGACCTCGTCAGCGTTGACCCCGTCAGCGTTGACCCCGTCAGCGTTTACCTCTAGCCCTACTCAGCATTAACCTCGTCAGCGTTGACCCCATCAGCGTTTACCTCTAGCCCTACTCAGCGTTGACCTCGTCAGCGTTGACCCCGTCAGCGTTTACCTCTAGCCCTACTCAGCGTTAACCTCGTCAGCGTTGACCCCATCAGCATTTACCTCCCGCACTGTTTACCCCCTGACCCCAGTAGCCCTTACTCTGGTCTTTCTTAACTAAACCACCCGCACTAGTAGTTCGCCTCCGCCTACTTCAAACCACTACTTACGCTAGCGATTAGCCCCTTCCTACCCCTCGCCTCACACCCTCTGCCCTTTTCTCTCCTTACCTACTTAACTAGAACTTACTAGCACTTAGCTTTACTTCTCTACCTCTTCTCACCTAGACACTAGCGGTTACCTTCACTTTCCCAACTCTCCTCTCCTAGACACTAGCGGTTAGCTTTTACTTTCCAACTCTTCTCCCCCGGATAGTAGCCATTAGCTTTACTCTTCCAACTCCTAATGCCAGAGGTTACTACCCCTATCCTTATTTCCCCCTTCTTTACCCCTACAAACCAATAAGCCTTACTCTCCAGTAACCTTCACAACCTCCCGCCTACCTCTCAACTTTCTAGCTCAAACGAAAACCCAGGGTTAGGGTTAGGGTTACGGGTAAACACCACTACCTTTACTACCCTCTACGAGCCCTTACAAATACCCGCTTCTCTCTTTACCCCTTTCCGCTCTTAACCCTTCACTTAAACATAACCCTAACCCGACATTGGGTTAGGGTTAGGGTTAGACTTAGGGTTAAGGCTAGGGCCAAGCTTAGGGGTAACGGCTAAGCAGTCCTTATCTCTCTCTAGTCTAACCCTCTAAAACACCCGCTAGGCTCTTACCTTCCCCAATCAAACGAAAATTTAACATTTTGCTTTAGGGTTAGGGTTAGGGTTAGTGCTAAACATCCCCTCTAGTCTCTTTCAGCTAATACTTCCTAGGGGCTACCTTAGGGTTAGGCCTAAGTTAGTTTTTTTTTTTTTCTTTTTTTAACTAATCCTTAAAGCTAACTTTTCTAATTATTTACTTTCTTATTTATTTCCTAGCTTAACGGAAAACTAAGGGTTAGGGCTATATACCTTTCCTTAATTTCTCTTATTTCTAACCCTAGGGTTAGGGTTATATACTCTTCCTTATTTCTCCGGCTAGGGCTATATACTTCCCCTTTTATCTTCTTACCTTAGCATTATCCTAAGAAGACTTTTTTTTTTTTATATTAATTATTCTTTTTTTTCTATCATTTTATTATTTAGATTTTTCATCTTTTTTCTTTTTCTTTCTTTTATTTAAATATCCAATACTATCTTACTAATAATAACTAACCTCTTTCTTATATTACCCTCCCTTTATCCTATTCTCCCCTCGGCAATTACCATTATAGCTACCTACTATGCCGCGTTGACCTGGTCACCTTGCCGTAGTCTTCGTAATACCCTCATATACCAGCCCCATCTCGACCTTAGTAACTTTAAGAGCGAAAAGGCGCTTCAGCTTAGTAGTCAAAGCGATCCCTCTAACTCAGGGATTAACCCGCCTTCAAGTCTCTAAAGCATCTCGCTAGCCTCAGAGAGCTTCTTTTTACTATCATAATCCTATTACTTTTACCTACCCTAGACTATTATATCCTTCTCCTTTTCTTCTTTTCCTCTACTTCTTTCCTTTAGACTCCCTCTTATATAATTTCTTATATAGTCAAAGCCAGCCATCATCACAAAGTCTTATTCATATATATAGTTAGGTACCATTAAGTATTATATAGATAATCTACCCACTATAGAAGCCAGCTCCCATAGGCAAATGCCCTCCCTCCCTCACACCTTTTTCTCTCTAATCACTATTATCATACTAGATAAAACTAGCCTAAATAGATACATAGATGCCCGAATTATATTTCTTACCTAGCACTTAGTTCACTTATATATATCTCGTCACCTCTTAGTCTTATACCTCGTCCTCGTATGCCTCTCCATCGCATATCCCTTAGTCGTATACCTCTCTATTAGCATATCATCTATAGAAACTCCTCCTCTTCTTCTTCTTTCCTTCTCTCATATCCTTCGTCGTCACCTCTCCCGGACCTACCCAAGTCAACACCAACGAGTCCAACGACGGCATATTCCATACGCCTCTACGATCGATCGCCTCTATCCATCCAGCCCAGAACTCTATCAACAAGTAATTCCTTCCTATCTCCTCTATGCCTTTATCTATATCCACATCGGCTTTACCCCCGCCGCCGGGCCTATTAAAATCCCCTTCCTTTTATCCCTTACCTCCCGCACATAGTTAGATTACTACTAGTACTATAACTATAAGCCGACCACTAAATACAACTCTATTCTCGCTATCTTTGATTTATTATCTAATTTACCTGCCTTCTATTACTTATTACTCTAGAAAGTTCTATAATTACTACCACTCCCATTCGCTAGCCATATAGTTATATCG